AATCCTCAGAGCCTCCTTTCTCCATGGCTCCGGGGCCCTGCTTTCCCCGTGAGTCACAGCAACTGCAGAGGCCCATCCTGCCTCAGCCCAGGGCCAGCCTCCAACCGCACTTGGGCTCCTGGCTTTGCAGGAACCTTCTTCCCCAAAGCAGCTGCTTCTGGTCCACAGGGACGCAGTTTAGAGGGCAAGAACACACACCTAGCAGGCACCCCCTGAGCAACTATGAATCAATGAATCAAAGAATGCCGAAGACCCTGCGAGGGGGAGACACCTCAGCCTCTCCCCCAGGGAGCCCCCAGCCAGCAGGGCTGTGGAACCCAGAAAAGCTCTGTGTGGGTCCTGCAGCCAGGTTCCCCCTGAACCTCAGGGCAGGGCCTAGTACACACTTGCTACAGTGGAGGGTCTCAGTACATGTTTGAAGGAGGGAGGGAAGAAGGGAGAAAGGGGGAAAGAAGGAATCTCGAGGCCCTCGGCTTCTCTCTGAGGGATGTTCTTTGGCTGAGGAACTTCCTGGTAACTGGGACCACCTGGGCCTTTTCCATCCCTGTGCCCCAGTACCAAGCGCAGGAGAGCACAGAGTGGTTCCTCGTGACAAATTTGAAAAGTCTGAATTGAACCCAAGGACGCAGAGCACCGAGAAGCCAGGGGTCAGGCAGGCCTCATCAGGCTCAGGGGAAAAGCTGCTTCAGTCTCCCCACCCACAGTGAGCACAAGAGTCGGGTGGAGAGAGAGACTGCTGTGGAGCCAAGTGGAGGCCAAGGGCAGTGTGGGGTACCTGGGGCTCTTGGCTGGCCAAGACTCCACGTGGCCTTTGAGAAGGAGGGGTGTAGGGGAAACCAGGTAAGGCTGAGATCTCTCCCTCCAGTGGGATCAGGGACTGGGGAGGGGGGGAGAAGTCGGGGGAGGGGGGGGTCAGGAGGACAGAGAAGCCCTCTACCCCCCCTGCCAGGTGGAGCACAGCACCACCCCCACCCCCAACTACTGCCCCATCCCGGCGTAAGCGGCTGGTAATGGATGAGGATCATTGTTGCAGGAAGGTGGGTGAGTTTCCACGAGTGAATCTTTCCTATCTTCACACCAAAACCTAGATTCTCCAGCTAGGAAGCAAAGCTGCCGCTTTCTCTCCCCAGAACAGCAAAGACCTAGAAGACACTGCAGAGACACCTGCCACATGGCACCTCTTTCTCCTTCAGGCCACCTTCAGGGGAGGGTTACTGTGGCCACAGAGCAGTGGGGAGACAGGCCAGGGTAAGAGACTTTCTTCTGAGCCCCCCAAGCCCCCCCCTCTCCCACCGGACTCCATGTTCTGCTGTGATATCCCTGTCCCAGGAGATCAAGTGCCAGTGTCAGGGCTAAATGGTAGGGTGGGTTTTGACCCTGAAGAAGGGGGCAGAAGGCAGAGACTCCTGGGGTCCATGTGGGGTAATGGCTAATTGCCAGGATAAGAATAAGCGTTGGGGCTCCAGGGTGGCTCAGTCGGTTAAGCATCCGACTCTTGATCTCAGCTCAGGTCCTGATCTCAGGGTCATGAGTTCAAGCCCTGCATTGGGCTCTGTGCTGGGGGTGAAGCCTACTTCAAAAAAAAAAAAAAAGAGTGAAGCGCCTGGGTGGCTCAGTCGGTGAGGCATCCAAATTCAGCCCAGATCATGATCTCACGGTTCATGAGTTCGAGCCCCGTGTCGGGCTCTGTGCTGACAGCTCAGAGCCTGGGGCCTGCTTCGGATTCTGTGTCTCCTTCTCTCTCTCTCTGCCCCTCCCCCGCTCATGCTCTGTCTCTGTCTCTCTCTCTCAAAAATAAATAAACATTAAAAACACAATTTTCTTGAAAGAGTAAGAGCTGAGGCAGGAAGCTAGGAGTCAGAGGGTCAGTGACCCATCCATCCACCTATTCCTTAGCTAGCCATCATTTAGGGAAGTGGTTATTTAGCTGACCAATATTTATATAGTCCAAGATAAAGCACAAGTCCTGTATGAATATTAAGTAATTGAATTAACTAATTGAATCCCCAGAACAAACCTATAAAGGCAGTGCTATTGTCATCCCCAGTTACAGATTGGGAAACTGAGACCCAGAAAGGGTTAAGTGACTTGCCCAACATCATACAGCTGGAAAGTGGCTAAACCAGGATTCAAGTCCAGACGTAATGTTACCGGAACCAATCCCTGCTGCTGGCAGGGTCAGGGACAGTCAGAGGTCATGAGGCCAGGCCAGGGATGACATCTTTCCTTCAGGATGAGACGGTCCTTTCAGGGAATGGATCGGAGGCCTTTCCCAGAGAGGACTGGAGCTGGAGAGAGCTGCTGATGTAACTGCTCCCTCTTGTGGGTGGGGGTGAGGTGGAGTTGGCCGAGGCCCAGGGGGTGTGCCTGCCATGACAAGGGCCTGGCCAATAGCAGGGCCAGGGAGGAAAGGAACCTCTCCCGGATATTTCTATTATCTTGAGGAGAAAGGGAGGCGGGAAGAAAATTTGGCCGGAAAGCAGACTGAACTTGCAACTTGGTTTAATAACCAAATCCCAGTTCTCCTGTGAGCCAGAGCTCCCCCTCTGTGTCCCCTCCAGGGAAATCCAGGCCAGGTTCGGGGCTGGGAACTGGGAAGCCTATCTCCATCACCACCCGACCGGCCTAGAGTCCCAGAAGCGGGGCCCGTCTCCCCCGGAACTCTGGCTGGCCAGGTGGAGGAAACGCAGGGTCCTTCCCAAGTTCTAGAGAAGAAGGAGGCTCCCAGAGATGGGGATGCTTTTTCCACGCTGAATACAAGGCTGCGTGGGTGGGAAAAGTAAATGGCACCGGTGGGGCAGGGGGTGAGCCATTTGAAGGAAGGCTGTCCTGAGAAATGCTGGGCTGCGTCCCTAGTGAACGGCTGGGGGACGGGGAGGCTAGGGAGAGTGGGCAGAGCTCCTCGAGTCATGGCTTCCGCACCACTTACACACATGCACTCAAGCACATTCATATACACATTCACACACCCATAGACACATGCGCACCAACACTCATACACACATGCACTCACTCATCTACTGTTACACACTCACACACTCATATATATACACACACATACACACACACACACACACACAGGAGTGGGGCACACGCACACAGGCATATACACATGCACCCGCATACGCACCCGTCCCCCAGGGGTTAGGACCAGGCTGGGCAGGAGAGGGGCCTTCTGGGAGAATGGCATGGCTAGTAGCTGCCAAGGGGTGGGTGGGCAGAAGACTGGGACCGGGCAGGGAGCCCAAGAGTCGGGGGTGGTGCTGAGAGCCACCATGCCATGACAGGGCCAGGGCTGTGAATGGAGTGGACACTGCTCCTGCCCCCTCCCGGGGCCTGCCTCTGGCCAGGCCAGCCTCCATTCCCGGCATTGTCTCGGGTGCCTTGGGCAGGGTTCCCAGGCCTGGCTGAACTGGGGGCCCGGCCAAACAGACCTCCTGTGCCCTCCCATTCCCCTCTCCCCTTGGAAGAGAGGGTTGTGTGGGGAAGCAGAGGAGAAGGAAGATTCCTGAATCACTGACATCCTATCCCCTAGCCCACACAGGCGGCCTACAGAGGAGCTCAGGTGCAGAGGATAGCCCCAGAGGCCGCCATCTTTCCCAGGGCAGGAAGCCTGAGAAGTCCAGCTCATCCTTCCACACACCCCTTGACCATGACATTCATTTCCTCTCCCATCCCTGGGGTTCCATCAGCCCTCTTCACAAGCTGGGCTTACTCTGGGGTAAGCTAGTCTCCCTCCCAACATCTCCATCCCCCAAGCAATGGGAACTACCTGGTTTTACTCTTAATGGCCAAATTAATCACCATTAATTGGTGGTTAATGGGGGGGGGGATGGGGATGCAGGTATTAATGGATTAATGCAAAGCATCTCCTTCTCGGACAGCTGGCTCTTCCCTGCCTCATCCAAGAGGTCTCCCACCCGCTTCTGGCAGCCTTCACCCAGAATGGGGCCCACCCTCCCCCATGGTGCCAGAGAGTTGGGCCACCATCGCAGTGGCTGCACCTCAGCCGGAGGAAGGGACCCCGTGGACAAGAAGACCAGCCATCACCCGGGACCCCACATGGCCTCCCTTTTGGGACTTGGGCAACCCTCCCCTGGGCCCGGTGGGCCAACAAGAAGGCCACCATCCTGCCTTCATGGGGCTTGTGTCCAAGAGGCGCTCCTCCCTGCTCTGGAGCTAAACACGGTACAGGACTTCCTTCTGGCGCCCTCCAACCTGATTGTCATCTGAGCCAAAGGGATTTTTCCAAAACACAAGTCAAATCCCGTCCAGCCCTTGCCCAAAGCCTGTCAAAGATTTCCCAGTGCCCTCCAGACAATTCTTCAATGTAGCACAACTCGTGAGACCTGGTCCCTGCTGCCACTATACCTCACCTCCGCTGCCCCCCCTCAGGCCACGGATCTTGCCCCACAGAGAGGCCCTTCCCCACCCGCATCCCAGGATGCCTCCTCTCCTTCCAGGCCCGCCCTCCCAGCTCACTCATCAGCCTGCGGGTCTTTGCTCCGCCCCCTCTTTGCTCTCCTGGGGCCCCCCATCTCTCCCCTCTTGGCACTGATCGGTATGTTGGGGTGGCCTGTTTGTTCATCAGCCTCCCATCTGAGCCAGGAGCTCCAAGAGGGAAAAGACACATCTATCCTGCTTGTCATTAAGTGCTCAGTCCCAAGCACAGTACCTGGCATAGAGGAGGTACTAGGTAAATGCAAATGAATAATGAATGAGTGAATGAATAAACGGTCCATATCTGCCCAGCCTTTAGGGCCATGATGCACACATCTTCCAGGGCTGGCTGGGGCACGCATGCCCACACCCCTCCCCTCTTCCCCTCAACACATTGCTGTGTGCAGCTTATTAAGGCCGGCTCCCTATCTCTGGGAAGAATCACCCCTCCCCTCTCCAAGCCCCACACCCTTTAAAGCTCAGCTCCAATCAGGGACCCCGCCTCAGCCCTGACTGCCTCCACTCACCTGGTCCAAACCCCTGAAAAGCTCTCTGCTGGGGCTGCTCTTGGATTTATATTATGATGTGCATGTTTCAGTGCCTTCACTATTGGTCCCCCGAGGGCTCCTAGACTCCCCTGAACAGTGAGGCCCTGGCAGACGGAGCCAACATATGCTACCTAGGCTGTGCCAAGCGGCGTGCCCTGGGCTGGATCCCCTAGAAAGGTAGATGAACTTGGTCTGCTCAGGGGGGCGTGGGCAGGGCTCAGGAAGCCAGGGCTCTACGATTTCCTTCCTCACCCCCAGGCTCTGCTGGGGAACTCCAGGACCTGGAAAATGAACATCAGAGTAGGAAGCCCCCAGCGTGGAAGGGGAGGGCGTGTCAGCTAAGCAGGTGGGATCCTAAGAGAGGAAAGAGCTAAGATCAGACATCAGAAGCCAGACTCCTGGCCCTGCAGCAGGAGCCCAGAGAAGCCTGGCAGGAAAGCAAATGGAAGCTTCCACCCATTCTACCCATCTTCCTTGGCTGCTGCTTAGCTGGGGCTTCTAGGGAAGCAAAGGGCTTACTGTCAGGGCAGGGCTATGTATGCACACACCCGACCCCCTGGCAACCTGCCTGTTCCCCTCCCACACCTCCTGGCAGTGGCTCAGTCAGCCCCTACTCAACTCACCAGTGTTCTCAGTACCTATCTGCAGGGGTTTAGATGCCCAACCTACCGTGTGCTCAGGACTGGTCTCCCCCTCCCCCACCCACCACAGTGAGACAGAAGTGCAGCAGACCCAGCCCTGGCTTGACAGGGGAGCAGGGGCAGGGGGGGCATGGCTCATGGCACAGGCACTCTCATGCCCCCCACAATGCACACACACTTAGAGGCCTGCGAAGCCCTAAAGACAGGGCGGAAGCCTCCGAAGGGCACCTAGAGCCCTCCTGGCCCCTGCTGGTCTACGCTGGGTGACTTTGGAGGAGCCCTCATCCTCCAATCTATAAAGTGAAGGTGATGACCCCTGCTTAACTCACCTCTCCGGGTTGTCAGCCAAGGTGTGCCCTTGAAAGCCCTCCCCACGGGCTTTGTAATCTGCAAAAAGAGAGTTTTCTTATTGTCATTCTTATCGCTGATCTTATACATCCAGGGAAACTGGTCCTGCTGTCTCATTAACATACAGCAGCTTCGGGGCGCCTGGGGGGCTCAGTCGGTTAAGCATCCGAATGACTTTGGCTCAGCTGCTCACTATCTTCCGGTTCTGTACCTTCCAGCCCCCCCCCCCCCCCCGCACCCCCGCATCAGGCTCTGTGCTGACGGCTCGGATTCTGTGTCTCCCTCCCTCTCTGCCCCTCCCCCGCGCTCTCTCTCTCTCTCAAAAATAAATAAACATTAAAAAAAAATACAACAGCCTCACCTCCCCCATAGGATCCCCTCGCCCAATAACCATCTGGGGTCCCCTTTGCCTACAGGTGAAAGGCCTCATTCCATGCTCTAGGGGTTCCCCTGGCTAAAGTCCACTTTCCAATTTTATGTCCCTTATACTGTAATCTCTCCAGCCCTCTCGGATTGCCCTCAACACAGTTTTTGCCTACCTGCCTCCATGCTTTTGTTCATGCTGTCCCCTCCTCGCGGAATGCCCTTGCCCAGTGCCATTTCTGTATTTAGCTCTATCCTTCAAGACCGAACTGTGGTACCAACTCCTGCCTGAGGCCCCTTTCCTCAGCCAAGCCAGAACTGATTTCTCTCCTGCCCTGTAAGGGATCTGGTTTACACCACATGTCATGACACTTCCTGGCACAGAGTTGGTGCTCAGGAAACAAAAGTTGTAATAATCACACCCTGGGCTCTAAACACTTTATATTGACTGACTCATCCAATCCTTACCTGTTGGTGTACTTCTATTAGCATTCCCATTTTCCAGGTGGACGAACCAAGATATATGCCCCGTATCTTGCCCAAGGCAGCATGAGACCAAGATTTGAACCTGGAGACTGACATCAGGGCCCACGTACATGCCTCTAAATATCACGAAGAACTGAGCCACATCCACCCGCTCATCTAACTCATCCCCCTGCCCAGCCCAGGACATGGTTCAGTACATAGCTGATGGTCGTGGCATTCACGTGTCTCCAGCCCCCTGTATGTGCTCAGCTCACTGTGCCGGGGGTGGGGGGTGGGGGCGCTCCTTTGGGGTGGAGTCCAGAAGCTGGCTCAGGGTTCCAGGAAATGTGACCCGACAGCCTCCCTGGGCTGTGGACCCACACCATCCTCAGGCATCAGAGTGCCAGCCTAAGGCTGGGAAAAAAATGCGGGCAGCAGCCCTTTGGCCACCGCACAAGGCTGCCTGGTGGTACGCTTGTTGATTGCATCGATTGCCGACCAAGGTTGTGATTAACGCACCCACCGTCACCACGACAGGGTGTTGGGAGAACCCAGGGTGGGGGTGGGAAAGGAAGCAGGCAAGAGCATCAAAGTCCAGGCACAGGGGACTCTAGGGACCACCTAACCCCATTGCTCGCTCCCATTTAACAGATGAGAAAATTGAGGCCCCAGAGGTGGAATAACTTGCCTAAAGCCGAAGAGTACAGCAAAGTCCCGCAAAAGCACCGGCACTTCTGAGCCTTTCCTCCTCAGCCTGCCTGCGGGCCCGGACCCCACCTCTCTCCCTGGAGAGCTTTATAATTAGCCCTGGGCAGTCCAGTAACCAAGAGGCCCGAACGCTTCGGTGATCCCAGCAGAGGAAAGGGTGCCCTCAGACAGCTTCGCCAGGCTGCCGTGCCCAGCCAGCGGCAGGTCCTACCATCAGAACTGAGAGAGAAGTTGGGAGAAGGCCAGCCACTAATTGTGGAAAATAAATCACGGACATCTAAACCACGCAGTTGAAGAAAGGCCAGTTGCACGTAGACATGTTTCCTTTTGTGCTCTTGCTCGCCCACTTCAATTGTTAATTGAAAGCCATGAGTTACATAAGTTACGTGGATACCAAAGAAGGAGTTGAATGAGCTCCTGAAAATAACCCACTCGCTGAGTGGTTTTCGGGATGAGGAGAGGTCTTAGAAAAGCAGGTGGCTGAGGAGGACAGCTGGCCCTCAGAGGGCAACCAGGGCAAACCTGTCCCCTAGTGACGGCAATCTGGATCTGCAGACGCCTCCTTCCCAGATTTTGAGAGGACGAGGATGTGTGTTCGAGTTGCTGGTTCTTCACAAAATCTCAAAGAAAGTCAAAAGTTGTGCTATTATATGGATGTCTTTTTTTTTTTAATGTTTATTTATTTTTGAGACAGAGACAGAGCATGAACGGGGGAGGGTCAGAGAGAGAAAGAGACAACAGAATCGGAAGCAGGCTCCAGGCTCTGAGCCATCAGCCCAGAGCCCGACGCGGGGCTCGAACTCACAGACCGCGAGATCGTGACCTGGGCTGAAGTCGGACGCTTAACTGACTGAGCCACCCAGGCGCCCCTGGATGTCTTAGTTTCATAAGAAGAAAAAACCTCTCCCATCTCTGACGCTGAGCAAATTGAGGGCAAGGCTGTGTGTCTCCCCCCTCAGCCTGGGGCTCCCTGAGGGCAAGGCTGTGTCTCCCCTCAGACTGGGGCTCCCTGGGGGCAGGGCTGTGTCTCCCCCTTCAGACTAGGTCTGAACTACATTTTCTCCAAAAGACTAAGGTCTCCCTGAAAACAAGAGCTACGTTGTTTCATTCCCTTCCCTAAGGCAGGGGCCGGGTCTCTCCATTAAATTGAGCCCAGCCCACTCCCACCAACCTGGGTTGAGGAATGAGCGACCTGGAGTCACCTGTCACCGTGGGAAAATCTCAGGACACACCCTGGTGACGGGGGGTGGGGGTGGCAAGGGTTAAGAAACTGCAGCTACAGGGACACCTTTCTCATTAGCTGCCCTCCCCGCTGCCGCCTGCTGCCAGGGCTTGGTTGGGCTTCTGATGGGTTCCAGCTGACAGCTGGGCCTCCTCTATTCTGACCCTCGGGCAGCGGTGTCCTGTAATGACCCCACCACCGGTACCCTTAGCCACAGAAGCCAGGGAGGCTGGCCGTCAGGATGGAGTGGGATGCAGGGAGGGAGGGGCAGCCCTGCCTTGGAGGGATGCAGAGCCCAAGGAGGACTGGGGGAGGGAGCCAGGGGCAGGGGTTCCATTAACTCCCTCTGAGGCCCAGAGCGGAGTGACAGGGGCCACCCTGTCCACATGGGCTAGTTTCTTCCGCTGCCACCACCCCTGGGGGAGAGGCCTCCACATAGCCTCCAGCCTGCGCAGAGGCCCGTGGCTTCCCCGGCTCCTCCTCAACCGTGAGTCATTCCCAGCAGTCTGTGCGAGCAGAGGCAGCAAACCCCATCCTGCAGCCTGAGGAGAGCAGGGAACAGACTGCAGCACTGGCCAGACACAGGTGCCCAGCACAGGAACGCCAGCCCGGTCTGGATGCGGAGGCTGAGACTCGCCCCTTGAGAAACCCCCGGTCTGGTTTCCCAAACGTGGTCTCCTGCCCCACATCTCTTCACGCCCGGCTCTCTGAGACTCCGCTGTCATTCTCACTTGTGCCCTTGTCCCTTACCCACACCTCCTCCCAGCATCCTTGGCCTTTCAGGACTCATCTCAAATGTCACTTCTCCTGGGAAGCTCCCCTGTTCTCCTTTGTGCACCCTCAATGCCATGGGCATCCTTTTATCTGCTTTCCACATCTCTTCTCAGGCTGGAAAAAGAGCCACAAAGAGGGCAGCGGGGACCGTATTCCATTCCTCTCTGTATTTCCAACCCCCGGCGCAGTGCCTGGCATGTCCTAGGTGCTCATGGTACTGTTTCCAAAGATAGATCTGGCTAGGAGTTAAACAAAACCACTCAGACCCCAATAACCAATATTTGCTGGTCCCAGCTGCTTCCAAAATCCCACCAACTATTCCTGGACAGGCCTAGGAGTTTTCTCATCTGATGCAATGACCTGGTGCCAAACCTCGCCCCAGGACCACCCACAAAGGGCACGGTTGATGTGCCTGAACCCTCAAGGTGCCAAAGCTGTATAGTGGTCTGTGTTACGGTGGGAGAATGCATCGCCCTCTGCCTTTCCCTGGGGCAGAATCCAAGAACAGAGCTGCCTGCACCTAGCATCTTACAGAAGTCTAGGAGACAGTGTGCAGGGGACATTATGGACTGGATCTTAATCCATTCTACCTTCTGCTAGGTGCCCCACCTAGACTGAAGAAACAAGAAAAGTAAATAATAACAATTATAATAATAAATAAACAAAACACTACATTTGTCAGTATCCCTTGCTGTCAAGATTCAGGATATAATTCAGAGTCAGCCAATCGGATGCAATTGCATAAGATTTAAAAGGCTGCACTTCTGCAGGTGCTGCTGCTGCTTTCTGGGAAAAGGGGCAGGGACAGGGGTGTTTTTTCTTCTTGATGTTGTTGTTTTGCGGCAGTGCTGGCCAAGAGGGTCAAGAAGGTGAGGCTCAGGGGCACCTGGGTGGCTCAGTCAGTTAAGCATCTGACTTCGGCTCAGGTCATGATCTCACATGAACCTGTTTCACATTCTGTGTCTCCATCTCTGTCTCTGCCTCTCCCCCGCTTGCATTCTGTGTGTGTGTGTGTGTGTGTGTGTGTGTGTGTGTGTGTCTCAAAAATAAATAAACATTTTTAAAAATTAAAAAAAAAAGAAGCCAGAAAAATCTCAAATAAACAACCTAAACTTACACCTAAAGGAGATAAAGAAGAACAAACAAAACCCCAAATCAGAAGAAGGGAGAAAATAATAGATTAGAGCAGAAATAAATGGGATAAGAAACAACAAAAAGCTAGAACAGATCACTAAACCAGGAGCTGGTTCTTTGAAGAGATCAACAAAACTGATAAGCCTTTAGCCAGACTCATAACACAAAAGAGGGGGGTGGGGGGGTGGAACTCAAATAAACAAAATCAGAAATGGCAGAGAGAAATAACAACCGACACCACAGAAATACAAAGGATTGTAAGAGAATGTTATGAAAAATTATATGTGAACCAATTGGACAAACTAGAAAAATGGATACACTCCTAGAAACACTTGTGAAAGTGTTTCCTAAAGTGAAGCAGGGAGAAATTGAA